GCAGTAAACAAATTATGGGGTAATTATGTAATAACTGGCCTCAGGGTTACCATCTAACTACACAGTCGCAATTCACCCTACATGTTATTAATGTTTAAAGTGATGGGAATAGGATTTCATTGTTGACTAATTTTGCATTTTATTCTCCACTTTTGCATAAGTCCAAATCCAAACTGTCCAGGGAGCTGTCAGACTTGGTGGTTTACTGTAAGAGCGTGCACTTCCATGGCTTTGAGCATGCTCGTTCACACGCCAAATGTTATGAGATGTCCTCCTTCTCTGAATCCAAGGCTAAGAGGCTTGCTAAGGACGCAGGTACCATGAACATGAGGGAACAAAGTATTTTGGAAAAGAGTGGAGAACAGCTGAATTTTATGTTCCTCAAATAAAATAATATGTTTTATGACTGTAATATATTTTACATATAATACATATGTTACACTCTCTTCAGGGACAAATTTTGTGCAGTACAACACACGGCAGCTGAGCAGGATCTATCCCAGTGGCTTCAGGACAGACTCCTCAAACTACAACCCGCAGGAGATGTGGAATGTAGGCTGTCAGATAGGTGAGAGGAAGGATGCTCTCTGCTGGTGAAACTTTGCTTCTAAAATCACTGATGTCTCCTGTTTCCAAAACCTTAATATCTCAGTGTCTAGTCTACAAGTCTACAAGTTTTCAGTCACTCTTCATCGTCGTTACCATAGTTATGGAGACTCAATACGAAAGAGGCTGTATAGATACAGATATGTATGGTTGACCATGAATGGATAAGTCCTGTCAGTGTCCCTCTCACACACCCACACACACAACCACCCATACATACATACATACATACATACATAGGCTACATACATGCATACATACATACATACATACACACACACACACACACACACACACATACATACATACATACATACATACATACATAGGCTACATACATACATACATACATACATAGGGCCTACATACATACATAGGCTACATACATACATAGGCCTACATACATACATAGGCCTACATACATACATACATACATACATACATACACACACACACACACACATACATACATACATACATACATAGGCTACATACATACATGCATACATACATACATACATAGGGCCTACATACATATATACATACATACGTACGTAGGGCCTACATACATACATACATACATACATACCTTATTTATTGCAGAAACCACAGCCGTTTCCAATTCAGCGTCTGAAACAACACTTCTCCGACGAAGGTTATGCTCCATGCAGAATCTCCTGACGCTCATTATGGAACACTGCGTGGCCCCTTCATGCTGCAAAATATCACTGATTGTCCCTGAATTTATCCAGATATCACAATAACAAAACAAAGAAATTAAATACTTCCTTTTCACGTTCTTCTGTTTTAATTTTGAAACAAAAAAACAACTACAAAGTGTGTGATTTCTGTTGTTCTGTTTTCTCCTTTTTTCTGTTCTGGGTTTAAATCAGAAAAACAGAAAAACAAGATATTTTTTCTGATTTGGTTTTGAAACAGAAAAACGACAGAACAAAGGGTACACAGATTATCTAATTATACTTTTTTGGAATGAATGTCCTGTGTGATATGAAGACAACTTCATCCAAAGGATCAAGGGCATGGATATAGACAGGGTCAGCGCTGACGATCTGTTCATTTGGCACAGTTTATTTACAAAATATGAGTAACACGTCTAAGATATGACAACAAAAAATAATGCTGTTACTGCTAGAAGAAAACTTTGTATCTTCCCAACACAAAAATGATTAGGAAAGTACAAATAAAGGCTCTGCCGCATATTTGAGTTGGTTGATGGTTTCAAAAGCCCAACTTGTTACACAATCTTCTTAACACACAGAGAGTCACACACTCCAGCAAAATAAAGACAATCTATTTAACATTTGCCTTTAAATAACAGTTGACAATAGACACTGATAGCAGACATTGGGTGGGAGGGGAATGCGGGCTAAACTGAACCAGTAACATCGTGATTATATGTTATGCAGCTTATATCACAAGCAATTTGAACATGGAAATGACAAGAAACGAAAGTGTTATGCACATAAATATGCCATCTCTTTTATGACAGTATACTGAGGAGTTATTCTCTTTGTGCATGCCCTCACTGCCACCCCCATCTCCTCCTGCAGGGAGGTTAGAGGTCAGGGTCAGATACACAGCATCAGCCCAGCAGCTGGGGGACTTTAACAGGACAGATGCTTCCTGTCACAAGGGCCTCAAACTGACGTTGTCTGTTCCTGATAAAAAGTCTTCTGCTGGACTTATCACATGAACTTTGATAACTAGACAGATAACTCTGAGTCTGGGAAATCATGTGATACAGCCAGCCACAGTTAAAAACAAAAATCCTAGTTAATTTCATTATTTCCCTTCTCCCTCTTTCCCAAAGTGGCTCTGAACTTCCAGACAGCTGGTCTGGAGATGGATCTGAATGATGGGCTGTTCAGACAGAACGGCTGCTGTGGCTTCGTTCTCAAGCCTGACTTCATGAGAGACGGCAACACTCAGTTCAGTCCAGACAAACCCGAGGAGCGGCAAGGCTACAAACCACTCCGCTTGTCAATACAGGTTCAGAGCTGCATGGGAGATTTGTGGTTGCAATGGACAGCTACTACTGTCAGTGTTAATGGGAAGCAGGAAGTGTTATGTGCCTTTCTGTGCTGGGCAGTGGTGTTTGTATCTATTGTGCAAATATATTTGTGTGTTTATCAGGTGATCAGTGGGCAGCAGCTACCAAAGGTGAATCAGAAAGAAGGCTCTATTGTAGACCCACTGGTCAGAGTGGAAATCTATGGAGTGCCACAGGACCATGCCAAGGAAGAGACCAGTCACATTAACAACAATGGTGAGAGTATGTTCAGTTTAATAAAACACAGATAATACATGTATTTCACTGACACAGATGGTTTTAATGATAGGAGGGCAGGAATGTGAAAGACTGGGTGTGAAAACCATAACATCAACTGAATAAGAAATTAGAAAAAAAAAAAAGAAAAAAAGTCACATGCTTGTTAGTTATACTCACTCCTCTACTGCCCTCTACCGGCAGGTTTTAACCCAGTGTGGAATGAAACTTTAAATTTTATCATCCATGCCCCTGAGCTGGCCCTGGTTCGCTTTGTGGTAGAGGACTATGACAAGGCGTCCCGGAACGACTTCGTCGGACAGTTCACTCTTCCATTTACATGCATCCAAGCTGGTGAGCAAAGTACACTGAGCCAGAATGCAAAGCTCACTGCAGTATTTATTAAATATGCAAATGAAATCATGTGTTGTGTCAAATACTAGAAGCAGGATTCACTTAATACATCTTTCTTTGAACACTTATTCTAATCCAAATGCTTTTCACCGTCTTTCCCTTCCCAGGATATCGTCACATCCACCTGCTCTCTAAAGATGGAACGGCTATTCCTCCCTCCTCCCTCTTTGTCAATGTCAGCATCACAGACTTCACATGAGGACATTCAATCTGATATCAAGCCAGAGGTGAAGTACTGTGTGTTCCTTTGCCGCATGAAGGATGAGAACAGCATGCACCAATACTTTTATCTGGTATTGGGCATTTGGGAGGCGAAAGTAGGGTATCAGTACAAATTCCACAGACTTAAAAAAGCAAACAGCAGAAATCAGACTCTGTTATTTGTTTCTCAGCATTATTCACTCAAACAAGGATTTCTGCAATAGAAGACTCTTCAAGTAATTGAATCATTTTTATGCCTCGGTGCCGGTAATAGCCGTGGCTGGAGGCATTATGTTTTCGGGTTGTTCGTCACTCTGAAGTCCCTTTCTAGTGAACACGTTATCTCAGGAACACTCTGAGGTAATTTCTCCAAATTTGGCACAAACATCCATTTGTACTCAACGATGAACTGATAAGAATTTGGTGTTCAAAGGTCACTGTGACCTCACTAAACATGTTATTGGACATAACTCAAGAATTAATTTCCTACTTATGTCAAAACTTCACAAAGATGTCTAATAGGATATAATGGTGAGGTGATGACATTTCATATCCAAAAGGTCAAAGGTCAGCTTCACTGTGGTATCATGTTGTTCTGCAAAAACACTGGCCATTCTGGCCATTACTCAACGTCATAACTCAGGAACAGAAGGGGAGACATTTGGTCAGATGCTGAATTAGTGACACAATAATCCACCTTGAAACTGTGCTGATTGTATAGATCTTCTATGTTGTTTGGGGTGTGTGAAGCATCCATGTTTTCACAGACATGGATGTAAACTGTAAATGTAACTTGACTGGTTCCCAGAGGCATACAACCATGAAGTGGTAATTATGGTTGTGTAAATATAGGGTTTAAATTCACAGACAAATGAAATAATGAGTAAAAAACACAGAGAACATGTAGTACTAAAAAAAAAAAAAACATCTAAAATTTAAAGGAACAGATCTGCCTGTTATCTATTTATGTTCTTATGTCAGATGTATGTAATTCTTAATTCAACTTTTTATGGAAATATTTCCTGCAAGCTTTTTAATTTCCATTGTCTTTGAATGAAGGGTCATGAAGGATTGCTGCATGTCTAGAATGTCTTAACATACCTATATGCCTTAAAACGTAGTATATATGCAGAAGTGACAGTACCTGAAATAGAGTAATAATAGAATGTAAAAAAAACCCTGCCAAATATCAGTATCATAAACCTATCAGTATAAAGTAATCAAAACTTTGAATCATGTTTGTTACTGCCTGCTTATTTCTACTTACTAATGTACAAATTCTACACAGTTTTGTTGTGTATAATGTAAATGTATGTATATATAGGCCTGTGAATACATGCAATAAATTTACTGAATGGTGCAACATTCAGTCATTCACAAACATTTTTGACTCATTCATTGTGCAAGTTCTTTTATTCATTTTATATACTATACATATACTATAGTATATATATAAATATATACTCTTCATCACAAGCAAATATCAAAGGACTTGAACTAAAAGAAAACATGGTTTATTTCTTTCACAGAGCACACCTTCCTTTCAGTCCACATTCTCTCATTCAACTATGTGTACTGATGTGTTCCACTAGCATTTTACAGTACATTAAAATCCAGTGTTGGAAGAAGTATTCAGATCAGTGTGCGAATACCACTGTGAAAATACTCCACTTCAAGTTAAAGTCATGCATTCAAAACCATACTTAAGTATGTACAGGTGTGTAAGTATTATCAGCACTAAGTATCACAATCAAAAGTTATACATTTTGATTGTGCAGTAAAATGTTCCTGTTTATTATATCTGATGCTTTTGATGCTGCTTTAATATATACAGTATGTTGCATTTTACTGCTGTAGATGTTTGAGGTTGTGCTCATTTTAACTCCTTTATATTCAGTGTGGTAGCTTAATCTACAGCAAGGCATCACATTCTATAAGACTGTCATATGTTTGTAGTGTGGCTGTCCTGTGAGAACTACAGATCTCTAAATGTCAACTAGTTTTCAGCTTTGTGACGATGCATTTTCCAGCTGATCCAAGAGGGTTTTATATGCTTTATTCAGCATAAGAAGTGGGAGAATTTTCTCAGCTCATAAAAGAATACTTCATCGTTCAGTTATCACAAACATTCAAAATCAATCTGAAGATACGTGGTTTTCATTGGGAAAGAATGGTATGAAAAACTGTAATCTGAAAAGTGACTCAAGACAAGTGCAGTAGAGTAAAAAGTACAGTGAATAACATGTTTAGTGAAGTATGAGTATATAGTTGAACAAAATGGAAATTCTTAAGTTAAGTACATGTAACTTGAATTTATACTTTAAGAGAAACGTAACTATTTTTCAACATGGACTACATTTTCCCATGTTTTTGTGTCTCAGTGAAAATGGCAACAACATTTTTTAAAAATTGGCGCAGTACTGGTGCCATGTTACCACTGTCAATATACATCTTCTAAAATTGCTTGTTTTTGCCACTGACAGGCTCCGATTTTTATTCCAAGTACTTACAACATTATGGAAAGGACCCTTCTATGATAGACCTTTTTGTTAAAGAGTCAGATCCTGCTTTTTAACCATGAACAGCCCCAAAGTCACTATCACCAATCCCACCAGACTCCATTTAAATATGCAGTAATTTTAGTGTGTTTAGAGCCAGCTTATTGTCACATCACACAACTGGGCAAATTAAGGATTTATTTGAATCAAACCATAGTTGGTGACTGTTGGAACAATGCAGTGAAGACAAGCCAAGACGGCTCATTTTGATTGTATGCGTTTTATGATGAAAAAATGACAATAGAGATTTCGGGGCTGTTCTTGGTTAAACAACAATGATCTTACTTTTTCATGAAAAGCTCAACCTCTGTAGGAATGTTGTCAGACACTTACTATAAGAATCTGAGCCTGTCAGTGGCAAAAACGTAAATTGAGGGTGGTTTTGTCCCGAGAGGTTGCATTACAGTCCATTACACGCCTGCTGTCTGCAGTGCTCTCACTCAATACAGGACCAATTTGTTGTTTCCATTAGTCACTTACACACAAAAACATGGTAAAATAGGATCCAGGTTGAAAAATTGTTTTCTTTACAGTGCAAAACTCGGACACCACATTCCACCAATGCTAATATCAGGTGGTCAATTATGATGACATCTACAACACACCACTGCATCTATTGTGCCCTCTCTTCAACTTTTTGTCTCACAGTCTTCCTCTCTTTGCATAACCTCCTCAACCTGTACCTCATCGCCCGCCCCTCCCTCTTTGTCCATTTCTGCTGCTCTCTCATCCAGTGTCCCCTGCAAGGCCTCCTTCAGGGTCAGGCTTACCGCTTCAGAGTCCCTCACCACCCCCTGCTCCACAGACATCTCTGGATGGTGCCTCTGCAAGTGCTTGACCACCTGGAACTTCTGTTTGGCTCTGTAGGAGCAGTGGCGACAGCAGAAAGGCTGCTGCTTGGTGTGTGAGAGGTAGTGATGTCTGAGACCCGCCGGCCACCGGAAAGCCTTGTGGCACAAGCCGCACGTGTATGGCCGATCGTCACTGTGTTGGCGCTGGTGAGTCTTCAGTATAAAACTAGTCTTGAAGGCTTTGCCGCATTTCTCACAGACGTAAGGGCGCAGGTCACAGTGCTGCGTGTCCCGGTGGGCACGGAGAGCATCTGCTCTGTTAGTGCGGTAGTCACACTCATCACAGGCATGTGGCTTGTCCCCTGCAGAGGACAAATAAATGTTTTTTTTCCTGGCAGTATAAAATTCTCAACATTAAATCTGTAAACTACATTTACAAATGCAAATTCAGTTGAGTGCCTGAAAAAAAAGTTTTGCTGAGCTTTAACAGTGATTTACAGAAATAACCTGCCACACATTTCTAAAAAACAGAGAGACACCACTGACAATAAACATGACTGAGTTCACAGTGAGGCAAAACTCATTGTTCCCTTTATTTATTATTTATTATATTAAAAAGGGAGTAGTATCATTATCATCATGCTTAATGTCTTTCCAATACCTGTGTGCTTGGTCATGTGATACTTCAGCTGAGTCGCCCACTTGCATTTGTAGCCGCACTCTGGACAAAGATACTTCTTCTCTGCTTGGTGAACCCTCATGTGAAGCTATAGTAGAAAAACAAGAGAACACGTAGCATTTTCATTGTGCTTTATCTTTTGGAAACACATTCAATACCATATTACAGTATAGGGATTACACACAGTATATTACCTATACATTTTATTATGAAACACTAAACTAAGGCTCAATCCCATTCCTTTTGTTTTTTTTTTACTCCTACCCCTTGTTTTCGAGTACCCCTTTGCTTCTCACAACAGAGTTACGAGGAGTAGTGGTTGAAATCTTTCCCTATGAAATGGGACAAACCTTCAAGAGCTTCATGACCAACATGTCATCAGCATCATCATCGTAATTAAGACACAGCATGCAGCAGCAATCATGGTATTACCACAACATTTGCCATTTATCTGATGGAGTTCGCGATTTGTTCGCAGCATAGGTTACATGCTATCGATTACTTAGATAAGTCATCAAATAAGAGAGAAAACACCTTCGTTAGCAGGCCAGTAGTGGTGCTCTGTAGGCTGTTAGCAACCTGTGCTCCTAACCTGCCAGTCTGTATCAATGGATGGGCCTGCATTTGTATAGTGCCTTTCTAGTCATTAGACCACTCAAAGTGCTTTTTATACTACGAGTCACATTCACCCATTCACACACACATTCATACACTGGTGGCCGAGGCTACCATACAAGGTGCCACCTGCTAAGTTATTGATGGAAGCATCATCGGGAGCAATTTGGGGTTCAGTATCTTGTTCAAGGATACTTCGACATGCAGACTCGAACCGCTGATCTTCCAATGGGTAGACGACCCGCTCCACCTCTGAGCCACAGCCGCCCAACATATCCAACATTAGAGGAGCAGTAACAAGTGCAGTAACTTAGCTGTTGGACTTCAGTTAAATTCTGGTGGTCATTTGCAGTGGTATAATATAACAAAGTGATAATACTTTGCCATAATACTTAAGTGTTTTTTGGGAGTATCTTAACTTTACTTGAGTTTTTATATTTCTGTCAACATTCATTTTTACTCCACTACATTTCCTAAACAAAACGTATACTTTTACTTCAATACATTTCTATGCATTGGAAGAAATGTGTTCTACTCCAGTATTACTCCAGTATCTACGTATGTCTTCGTCCTAAGCATTTCTGTTACTTTCTTACTACAAAATTAAATCAGAAGGTTTGGCGAATCAGTGGTCTTAGCTGGCAAGTTTGATCATAAGTTAATCACATATGGGCCAGTGCAAACAAGTGCTCAAAAAGCTATGGTCAAGTTTTGACTTCTAATCGAGCCCAGGCTGCATGTCAAATTAGATGCAATATGCTCTTTACTACATTCCACTCGACAATGAGACCTACTTCATGATGGAAGCAGAAAATGGCATCCCACAGCAGAGAGGGCAAGTAATGATTCAAGGAGATAAAGATTTGTGACAGGTAACAGTGAGCACACCTTTGAGTGTAATGTACTTTCCATTTTTAAGATGGTGTATATGTTAAATTGAAATAAATTTTATAATCTGACCGATAGCTTTTTTATTAATAGCGTTTACTTGTTCTTTTACTTTCAATACTTAATAACATTCAATATAATAAAAATTACTTTTAATACTTATGTGCAGTTCATAGCAGATACTTTAGACTTTTACTCGAGTAATATTCTAACAGGTGACTTTAACCTCTATTAAAGTCATTTTCCGGTAAGATAGTTGTACTTATACTCAAGTATGGCTTTCAGGTACTTCATCCACCACTGATCATATGCCATCAAAGGGGGGACAAGTAAAATGGAAATATGTCAAAAATGTGGGATTGTTGTGCTGTAACGTTAGCTAGCAAGCTAGTTTGTACCAACACCACCCTAATGCCTGTCCAATACGGCATGTGGCTTGTTAATTTAGTTTAGCGTAAAGGCTGGAAACAGCTAGCCTGGTTCTGTCCGCATTTAAAAACAATACTTAGTGTAAAAACCTCATATTGTGGTTTTAACAAAGGTAACATACCAGACTATTTCTTGACTGGGTGCAGTGACTTTGAGTCCCTGGGCCATAGCTCCACATGATCTGCAAATTGCTGTTTTCACACTTCAGTTTGATTAAATGTTTTGGTTTGGCTAAACTAACAAGACTTAACCTGTTAATTAGTGAGCTTTAGAGGTGCTGGCACATGAACATTTTTACTGCTGGACAGAGCCAGGTGAGCTATTTCGTCATTTCATGTATTTATGCTAAGCTAAGCCAACCATCTCCTGGTTGTGGCTCCATATTTCTTAACACAAGCATAAAAATAAAACCATTTCTGTTAAGTATCCGTTGTAAAGAAATCAAAGACTAAATTATATCTTACAAATAATTAACTCATGCTGTAAACTTGGAACTTACCTTCAACCTAGATGGATCAGTGCAGGTGTAACTGCACTGCTCACAGCTGTAAGGCTTCTCTCCAGTGTGTATACGAATGTGCCACGTGATTTTCTGCTTATTCCCGGTTGAATACTCGCAGTCTGTGCATTTGTAAAGTCGCTTGCCTCCATGTGAACGAAGGTGTTGCTCTAACACCAACTGATGCCGACAAGCAAACTGACAAGAGCTGCACTTGAGAGGCTTTTCCTCCTGAGATTCCTCCTCATGTTCATTCAGAAGGTGCTGAGCTAACAGCTGCCTTGTTTTGGTAGCAAAGGGGCACAGCTGACAGTGATGTGCCAGGTGGGTTCTCTGATGAATCTCAAGGCTCTCCTTCGTCTTAAAAGACTCCTGGCAGGTGTTGCACTTTACCTGAGGGTGCTTGTTCTCTTGGTGGCTCTTCAGAGTGGCCTCGCTGCCACATGTGTAGTCACACTGCTTACATGAGAAACAGACCTGGAGCTGGTGCACACGTTTACAGTGGTTTCTCAGTGCAACCTCTGAACTAAACTGAGCATCACAATGCGTGCAAGCATGGTGTAATTCCCCCATGTGGCATCTGAGATTATGGCGTCTCACATCGTCAAGCGTGTAGCCACTGAAGTCACAGAGTGAGCAGAAGTGCGTGGGCTGTTTGTCGTGGATGCGCATCTTGTGCTGACGCAATTTTGTCACAGCCCCAAAAGTCTTGTCACACATGTCGCAGCTGTGACGACCGATTCCTGTGTGAAGAGACTCATGCTCTTCCAGGCGATAACGTCTTGTAGTGCTAAAAGGACAATATTGACATTGGTGAGGTCGTGCACCTTTGTGTTTGAGTGCAATATGTTGAGCCATGCATCGTTGTTGTTTGCAGGTGAAACAGTGCTGGCAATGCAAACGTTTGGCAACACCAACCTTTTTGTTATGGGCACACAGGATGTGACGGGTCAAAGTAGTCTTTGATTTAGTTACATATGAACACATGGTGCATTGGACTTCATCTGGCTTCAAGCAGCCTCTCTTTTCATGACTGTCTAATGCTCTTTTCTGATTGCACTTAAATGCACAGCTTGGACAAGAAAAGATTTGATGTTTCTCAGAAACATTCCCAGTTCTTTCTTTGGACTCTTCCACCAAGTCCTCTTTTTCTTTGATCGACTCATTGCCACACTTGTTCCCCTCTTCTGAAATGATCTGAGTCTCTCTTTTCCTTAAGATTTTTCTGCAGGTTGAGAGGTGCCGTTCAACTGTTGCAAGCCTGACTGATGAAAAACTGCACAGCTTGCATTTGAATTTCCCATCTTTATTGGCGTAAAGGGACTTCTGCAGAGGAACATTTCTTTGTTTGTTACTAGAAAGTAATTGCTTTTTTGCAAGTTGAACTTTCAAAAGTTTTTTTGCTTGAATTTTGCTTTGCTTCTGTCCTGAGTTACTGGATGTAAAAGCATTATCAACAATACCTTTACAGATTTTTAAATGAGATGTACATACTCCCTCTTCTTGCTGAAGTCCCTTATCTGTGGAAATCTTATTTTGGGAAGATAGAAGCTCTGTCTGACTGGAATTTGTTTCGTCGTCCTGATCCAAAGCAGAATTGTCCTCTGCTGTCAAACACGTATTGGCAGTGCCTACAAATGTCCTTGTTTTTCGTGGAAGTGCTGGGCACTTTTTTGACAGGTGGCTATCAAGGCCCCGCTGCTGTTTGAACTGTGCACCACAGGCTTGGCACTGGTGTCCCTTTATCCTTCCACTGCACAAAGCCTGGCAGTGGTACTTCAAAGCAGTCTCCTTACTAGATACATAAGAGCACTTATCGCAGCGATAAACCTCTTTAGCTGGCACCACAAGCATCTGCACCCGTCCCTCCAAAACCATGGCTTCTGCTTGGTCTTTGTCGTGCTTTTTCATAGCTTTAAGACGGATCTCAGATTCAAATGGCTGATTGTGCTCAGATGGAAAAGTGGAACAGATTTTTCCACCACCACTCTCCACCTCAGGTGTTTGACACTCCCCTGGTATGATTGGTTGACTTGTATTATTTAGGGACTCATAGTTGTCATCTATGTCACTTTGTTCACATTCTGCATCTGCCATAGCTACATCATCTTCCTCCAGTGAAGATGTAGAGAAGTCTGCCTTTTCTGGTGATATGTTAGCGCCATTGCAATTAAATTTTGATGAGCTTGGAGTCTGATTTGCACAACTTTCTTCCTGATTTTGCAAAGAGGACGTCTGATAGTCAGTGGTTGATAGTGTCGTTAAAACAAGAGTACAGTACTCCTCAGGACTGTTCACAGATTGAGGACTATCTGAAATACCTTGATTAACAACCTCTTGCGAAACAACGTCAAAAACATCCACAGACTCCACAGTTTGTGAACCAGCTACAGGCCCTTTGCTGGCACTGTGATCTGCTGAGCCAGGAAGATCAGAAAGTTCTCTTTCAGACAGTGGAGGTCCTTCAGAGATGGATTTTTCAGACTGCTTGTGAGCTGCTAAGGGCTTATTGTAAAAATCCTGCAAGAACTCTGTTGAGTTCCTCTCCTTCTCCTTTGCAGCGTAGTTTTCAAGCCATGCTTTGTCCCCAGGTACATAGCCATGAGTTTTCCTCTTGTGCAGGAAGAGGCTGATGCTACTGAAAGAGGAATAAAAGCAGAGGGCACACCGGAACTCTTTCAGCTTGGTATGTTTACAGTTCTCATGGTTTTGAAGGGCTTGTCTGTAGCAGGTAGTGTATGTACAGTATTTGCACTTAAATATGGATGGCTGTTTCTCCTCTCCGGAGTGTTTGGCCAACATGTGATTGCGAAGCTCATATTTGCGCTTGCAGGCATAAGCACAGATCTCACACATAAGTGATTTGGCCTGATGTCGTAATTTGTGGCTATTGAGCTGGTCCATTCGGTGACAGCGGTAGGGGCATTGGTCACACTGATACCTATGACAGAAAACAAGAAATTAAGTCCTAACCACAATAGTGTATGAGGAATACAAAGCAAAGTGACTTTTTCACACTTTCAGGGTCTCCCACACATTCATTTATTAGTGGCAGCCTGCCATGATTAAAACATCTTCCACCACTTTTTGATGTTTTATTTTTATATAACTCACTTGTTCATATTCTATCAAGGCTTAAAATTACACATAATTAAGGGCAGGCCGATTTGAGTGACAGGCTGTCTGCCGACAGTGTCTCAGTCAGATCCACCCCTCGCTCCTCCTCAGCACCAGTATCTCACTCAAATATGGTCACTTCTGGTTCCAAAAAACCAAGATAGCAATGGCCAGCAATGGGAGTCCACAAACCTATAGGTGAGGTCACAGTAGCTACGTTTATTATTTTTACAGTCTATGGCTGTGACGCTGCTCCTGCTACTGTACAGACACTTTCAGTTTCAAATTCTAGTATCAGTTGTCTGACGAAGTATTGATTTGGAAATTCTAGTTTTTTCATTTGCAAATATGGACTATATTGGCTGGCTGAGTGTACCCAGCAGTGCAATAACAATACCAAGATAAAAACATAACCAACGGTTGTATGACAAACTTCTGAAGTATCTACCTGAGGTCTCCAGCATGTTTCCTCATATGGACATTCAGGTAGTGTTTCCATTTAGTGACGTATCCACATTCAGCACACATAAAGTTCTTGTTGTCCGAGTGTGTGAGCATATGTTTAGAGAGGTAGGACTCGTCTCGGCACCTGAAGTCACACAGGCTGCACTTGTGGGGCTTCTCATCTATTATAGAAAAAAGGAATACATCAAGAGATATCTTGCCAAAAGCTGTAGCTCCTTACAAGAGCTATCAAAACAACAAACTGCAGACACTGTAAAGTGAGAATCAGGTGAGAAAACCATGAGAATATTAAAAATCTATTCCCTCCTTACCACTGTGCATCAGCATGTGTCTCTTCAAGCCCCGTTGATGCGAGGTCACGTAGGTGCACTGAGAGCAGCGATGGATCTTCTCGTTGGCGTGCAAATGTCCGATGTGCTGCTGGAACTCCACAGGGTTAAATGTGACAAAGCAGCAGAAGTCGCAGCAAAGCTTTTCATTTCCTGGGTGACCGTGCCGCTGGTGCTGGAGGAAGACAGTCTTATTGGAACATGAGAAATCACACTGTGAGCAGTGGTAAGCGAGGTGTGTCCGATAATGAGCCTCCATGTCTGTCTCACTTTTGAAAACAGCACCACAGGCGTGATGACGACACTCTACAGCCTTGAACCCATGCACCTCGGCAGTGTGTCTGACAAGTTCTTTACGCAAAGAACTCTGGAAAGAACAACCCTCTTGGAAGCAGGCCACTGGCCTGCTGTGTGACAGAATATTGTGCGTCTTCATGTGGGCCTTAAGCAACTTGCTCTGGTGAAAGCTTTGACCACAGGTGGGGCAGGGATAGCTGTGACCCTTTACACCATCCTCTGCCTCACCAGCATGCACGCTGGTAAGGTGGCGACGAATTGCGTTCCGCTCCACGGCAGAATATTCACACAAGTGGCAATGGTGAACCTTTTCACCCGCCTCACGAAGTCTGTGTATGCGTAGCTTGCTCTTGCTGGTGAAGTAACGCTTGCAGGTGGGACACTGGAGGCTGGGGTCAGGAAAATGTAAATGGAGGTGCTCCTGCAGGTGGGAGCGCATCTTGAAGCAGCGGCGACACTTGGGGCACGTGTGGGTGCGATAAGTGTGCTCTGATCCCTCTGCAAGGTACTCTGGTGGACAAGAACAGAAATTAATTTTGAACAAAGTGACAAAGTTTGTGATGAAAGTAAGTTTAATGTCTCAATCTTTCTTGGTACTATCAAACACTGACTACATTTAAACGCACCATAATATTCCACAATTTTTCCCGATATTACAATATTCCAAATTTGATATGGGTCATGTAAATAGCATATTATGTTTGGGTATTCCGAATGAGGCCTTTTTCCAAATACAGCATTTTGTCATTCAGACATGTGGGATATGCCAGTAGTATTTGGGTTTTAGGAGCATTCTTTGAATGTGTATAACAGGCATTCAGAATATGCATCTCAACTGGGTTCTTTACTGCAGTTTGTGACACACGGCCTCATGCCTGTTTTCAGTTAGATCTGTATGTTGTCATGGATACATTGTACACAAATCAACTCACCAACAGTTCGTAACTAAGGCTGGTGTAGTGATACATGCCCAAAAGAAAAGCCCACATTTATGGTTGGAAGAAGAAGCACACCTACTTTTAAACATTATGAAAGGCTTGAATATCAACACGTTTTTGGATACATGCAAATATCACTAACCTCTTCAAAGTGGGTAATGTAATGAAAGAGGGTGGCTGTGTTTACATGGTTGAACAATTCCGCCATGAGTCATTACCTTTGAAAAAATATATATTTTTTGACATTTAGAGGCCAAATGGCCCAAATGGTTCAAATTATTCCACTTTTCCATATTTTGCCGTGATAACAAAATTTTATCCAAGTATGCACGGCTGCATCTTAACAGGGATATCAGTGGGATACTCATTTTCATTAGCCATGTGAACAGTTTAATATGAATATTGGGCCTCATTCACAAACAGTGCATATGCACAAATATGTGCTTCAACTGTGCGTATAAACATTTTAGTAGAAATTCAGGTGTCATCAATATTTTCTTACCTAATTTTTTTGTACTGTGAAAAAATTTAGAGCTGCCTTAGACCATGCATACACACAAATGGCGATGGCTCGGCTGTTATATTAAAACTACCTTCATTCCTTTCAATTTCCCTGCAAAAGATCAATTAAGTTTATCTTATTTCACTTAAACCTGCAATAACTGGTGTCAGTGGAAACAAGTTATGAACACAAAATTGACACATTATGACCCTCTTACAGCCGGGGTCCACCGGGCACGTCAGCGGCGCGACACGTCTGCAGCGCGAGTCCCGTAGCAGCTCGCCCCCCTATTAATCAATTACAGTGGCTCCACCGGCAACGGGAGCGGCGCGACAACCCCCGTCTGCCGCGCGACAACTCTCTATTTTAGGTGGCTCTTCTGTTTTTGTAGCGCTACGCTCCCCTACGCGACCCTCCAGCAAATAAAAACTACATGAAATAGTGTGCTAAACGAGCACAATGTGTTTTAAAATGAATAAATAAACCATTATCAGAGGTGATATGTGATGATTTTTTTTCATGCATTTACCCATGTTTATCCGTGACATTGTGTAAATGTCCATGGCGGACATTTGAAAGCGAGTAGATGACAAACAGTACAGTAAACTTGTAGATAACTCAAATATATGTAATAACTTAGGTGGAAAATGCGTTAACATTTCATGCAGCCTACATGCAGCCTCTCGGCTCGGCAAACGGTAAACAACCCCGCTGGCTTCTCTACGTGTCACTTCCGTATGCAGTCAGTGGAGCCCAAATGAATACGCTGCGACGCTACGCTGACATGACGCTTACGTTTGCAGCCGGTGGAGCCCGGCCGTTAAATTGGTACAGGAAACTTGTTTGAAAACTGCTGCTTGTTTACACATCCAGCAGTTGTGGAACAACATTAGCATTCATCTGATGTTAAATTTGTGTCTGCCACCAGTCATTCTCTTTTAGCTACATTTTTGGTCTCCACCAACTCCTGGTGAAAAATTCTGCCTCTTAAGCTACTAAATGCTACACTATGTTCACCAGCTAGTCACTAACTGTGTCTGTCTGCTGTTAAGTGCTGTACAGGTAGTGTGCAGTGGGTCTTTAGTAGTCTGGGGCCGTTAGTGGCCGTTTTGGTAAGGAACCGGAACCAGGGTGAGTGAGACAGGATCTGGAATTCGATGGATGCGCCTTTCCGTCAAAATAAAAGCACCAAGCTAATAAAAATGCGGTGAAACTTTAATTTATAGAATATAATTTACAAGAAAAGCCCCAAGCCATTAAGTTAATCGATTTTCTTACACCCCTTATCACCCCAAATCGATAGTGCACCAGAATTTAAAGTTTTACTTTGGTGAACACTTTTACTTTGGTGAATTTGGTGAATTCCGCATCCGCTCCCTAGACCGGAATCTGAATCCAGACAAAAGAGTGAATAGAAACCAGGCTCTTCACTTTATGTGAAGAGCCTGGTGATGCGAGGCTAGGTCTTTAGAACTTTATTGCTGAAACAGCCACCCACCTGCTGTTGCTGCTGCTGCAAAAAAGTAGCTAACTGCTGTACGTACCTTTGGATGGAGGCAGTACAGCATCCACTGCTGAGGGTTTGTCTCTTTCCACTGCCTTTCTCATCCTTTTAATACTGTGCCTTGGCCTCTCAGGCTGTTCCTCACTCCTGTCTCCAGGTAATGGTAATGCATAAGCTGGGCTGGTATTCAGTTTTCTTTTTGGCCTGTTGGACACCTGAGGTTGGTGCCTTCCATTAGTGCATACAGTTGTGGCTGCAGCCCTCTGCCCTTCAAACAGACATGCCAAAATGTTAATGTAAAATCTACTTAGTGCCGGAGCAGTACATCTACGACCCAACAAAATCATACCTGTACTCTTTTTGAAAACTAAGTACAGTTTTAAATGGAAAGACAGACAAGATTTCTGCATGTGTGTAACGTAGCACTGACTCATTCGAGTGTCTGTTTACCTTGAGCACGAGGTGGCAGATGGTTGTGCTCCGAGAGGTGATCATTCAGATCTTTTTCATTCTGAGTGACAAACTGACACTGAAAGCAGCCGAAGGGCATGTGGGCCCGCAAGTGTCTCTCCATCTCACCCTGTGTGAGGAATGACATTTTACAGGACTGCTGGGTGCAAGGGATAAGAGTGAGACCATGTGAGGACATCAAGTGAGCTTGATATTCCTGATGGTCTGTGCTGCTGAATTGGCAGCCTTGCTCAGTGCAGGGGAATGGGCCTTCAGGGTCATGTCCACCGTGGATGATTTTAAAGTGGCGTTTCAGGATACCTGGCTTGGAAAAAACCTCACTGCATTGAGAACACTTGTAGTTCTCTAGCTGTTTTTTACTGGATGGAGTTGTCAGCCTTTCTGAACAGGGGTGTGAGGTAAAAAAGCCACTGTCTGAGAAACTCTCTCCACATTTCTCACACTGATGAGCTTCCACAGTCTCCATTGTTTCTGAAAGAACAGCACAGCATTCAGTTACAATTTGACAGATTTAAAAACAGCATGACAAACATTTGTAACTCATGTTTTGCATCAATTTAGTATCACTGGGGTGCAAAAAGGCCAGAGCTGCCTGTATTTTCTCAGGAGACTCAGATCTTTAAACGTCTGCAGAACCATGTTGCAGCGTCTTCTATGCTGTAGTGTGCTGGGGCAGCAGGGTGAAAGCAGCTGATGCTAACAGACTCAATAAGCTCATCAGGAAAGCTGGGAGCTGGGGAAATCTGTTCTGGGAGTGGAACTGGAGTCTTTAGTGGAGGTGTCAGAGAGGAAGATGCCGAGATAACTACTCTGTATTCTGGACAATGCCTCTCACCCCCTGCATGCATCTGTGAGTAGATTTGTACATAAAAACCCTGGGTAGTAAAAACATAGACCAGATCCATGAACCCTGCAGGAAACTCGGATTTGATTGTAGACACGTGTATGTTCATGAATGCCAATCAATCGTAAACTGAATTGACAGCCGGTCCCACTTCAGCAATTAGCATGAATAGCTAGTGAACAGCACATAAGGAGATGATGTGGTGTGGCAGGGACAGGTAAATCAAAGGCCTGGAAGGAGGTAACAGGTGCCGTTAACTCTGTTCTCTGTTGTAAGAGCACAAGTACACATACACACACACACACACAAAAAAAAACAACCCACAACAGCTACAGGAGGCTCCTCCCAGCTTGCATCATCAGAGAGATCTCTCTGTCAGGGGAGACAGCGACATGCCTCCACTGGAGCAGTCAACATGTACGTGTTACATTAAGTGTTAAATTGCTATACATTGTGACAGCCATCACTGATAGTGGTTGGTCAGTAATGTGACTCTTACAGTCTCGCCACTCAAAAAGAAGATACATTTGTGGAGTTCTCTCTCCTGATTGAATTAAGTGGGAACAGGATGCCAGAAATTTGAGTCAATTTGAATGACTCATTCACATTTTTAAGAAACCTAATCTGAAGCTTAACTCTGCTAATTGCCAACTAAATCTGCCTATTGTGAACATAACAGAGCACAATACGAGTTCAAATTGCAATTTCTTATTATGACAACCCCTATTTATTTTTTTATTTTATTTTATTTTATATACTTTATTAATTCCCCTGAGGGGAAATTCAATTTTTTTCACTCTTTTGTCATTAAAGGCTCTCTAAGTCTTCCTAAGCTTGAAAAGTTTTTGTCACATACAGCAAACATCTCCTCACGATCCGCTAGCTACATGTCCTCTGAATATGCTGTGAAAAAGTCCTGTCTCTGTAGGCACCCCAGGCTCCTCAAATGGCAACAAAAACACTTCACTTCTGTTTATGTTCAACAATGTTATTGAACACAACAGAGCTAGCTCGCCTTTAAGCCTCATTGTAGCCTGTAGCTCTAACTGCCTCTCTGGGCACCGTGTTCACGTGTGCGTGTTTGCGCGAGACCGTGAGACATGGGCACCGCGTTCATGTGTGTGTGCTTGCTTTCGCTGGTCTTGCGCTGGCTGGTTGGTACAGCCTGAACCACAATGTTTTTGTTGCCATTTGCGCTCCGCTCTGCCTACAGAGACCAGACTTTTTCACAGCATATTCAGAGGACATGTAGCTAGCGGATCATGTGGAGATGTTTGTTGTATGTGACAAAAACTTTTCAATCTTAGGAAGACTTAGAGAGCCTTTAACACACAGGTCCGAAAGACACACAAACAGGACCTATACATGCACAAAGTGGAGAGATGTCAGAGTGAGGGGGCTGCCTTGGTCAGGCGCCCCGAGCAGTTGGGGGGTTCGGTGCCTTGCCCATGGACACCTCAGCAGTGCCCAGGAGGTGAACTGGCACCTCTCCAGCCACCAGTCCACGCTCCATATTTGGTCCAGACTTGAACAGGCAACCCTCCAGTTCCTAACCCAAGTCCCTATGGACTGAGCTACTGCCGTACACATGCCGTATGTACAGTACATTCCTTATCTACGAGCAGTCAGAAGCAGGTGTAGATTTTGTTAGTACCTACAGTACCATGATCTAAATTCCATTTGCCTTCATTGTACTGGTGAAATTGAAAGACATATCTCAAATATCTCAGATTGAATCTAACTGGCAAGATACTATTGAGTAGAAGTAAGAACATTTTCATTTTCATTTCACTTATTTATTGATTATTTGTGTGACGTGAGCCTTTAAAAGGGAACAGCACCTATATTAGGAATTTTAATGTTTTTTTTCATGGCCTAGAAAAGTGAAGTCACTATTTAAGAAAACATGAACTACTCTCTCTCAAAAGCGAGAAACCAGAGAAGTAAGTCTAAAACTTGTGATGTCATTGAGTATGACATGCACGTCCAAAGTCCAGTCCCAGGGCCAGTTGTGGCCCGCGGACCGATTTTAAACAGGCCTCAGCTTGTCTATATAACATATGTGGCCTGCATCACATTTTTGGTTACACAGGCAAGTTCATTTTGCATTTTTTTTCCATTCACGTCATGATGCAGGACTATCATACAGTTTGTTGACATGAACCAAGCTGGCAGAACTAATGTGTTTTCATAAGGCTATGGTTAATAAGCTAACAAATAGTTACCTAGCAGCAGACATTTCCCGCTGGGTAGCAGACATGGCCATAACGAAAAAAGCATGAAGTTGACAGTGTGGGCTGCAGCTTTCATGAGCAGTGGAAGGTTGACTATTTTTTTCAGTGAAACATGAAACAGTTATTTTTTGCTAAACCATATTATGTGAGAAGCAGCTGCCCCCCAGGTGTTTTCACATGATCTAATTTGACTCTGATTCAGCACCCCTGAGGTATAAGTCTGGAGCTCCTCCACAGAAAATGACTGGGAGATTGATTTTGTGAACCAAAAACGTATACTCAGAACATCCCCCTGGTTGCTATCAGTGTCATCTAGAACCTAGTTTCACCATTCACTGTCTATGGAGCAGCTCTAGACTTTGTACCCTATAACATAACAAATTTGAGTTTTAGCACTGCAGTTTTTGAGTTTGGGAGAGTTGTTAATTTTTACCAAGATTTTTTTTAACTGTTTTTGACTACGGAAATAACGTTGAATTGTGAAATTGGGCGTAGTTCCCCTTTCAAATTAATTTGTGGGGGAAAAATTCACATCCCTGACACCCTGTGAAGTCTCGAGATAATAAAAGAACATCCAAATACACTGACAGTGCATTGAATTTATGGTTCATAAAACAATGAAATTCCTATTCATGTTTAAAAATAGACAAATATTTGCAGTAAGGCAACTACACTGTCTACAGTAACTTATAGGATTAGATCAATAAATTAATTACTAGGCCTACTACCTGCTTCCTTATTTCTTATTAACTAGGCGATGCAGTACAAACGGAATTTTAACCTACCGCCTGGGTTTCCGCGGTCCATTCTATCTGAAAAACGAAACATCAACCATTATAAGTTAAACAGCATCCAGAGAATAAATTCATCTCTGCTGCGTGTCAGTCAGAAGGATGTCCTCATCAATACTAAGAGATAGCAGCCAAAGTTTCACTTACTTTTTAAGTCGATATAAACTTGTACCAACACACTAACGACGTCGCTGGTAACGCTAGCTGAGCTAACGTTAGCTTCTTGTGATTTTGGTCGTTAACTGTTCAAGTCGCAGTTCCTGCTCGCAATCAATTTCGCCGTTGCAGTCCACACAGGCTACAGAAGAATGCACGAATTATGTTATCCACCAACATATTTATCTAAGGTACACGTCATTATAGTCCCCGAGCAAAATAGTGTTAAGATAACGCAAACGGGACGGGGGAACGAATGTTTGAGGGCTGGCGAACAGTCGGAACTATATTTGCCAAACACAGGAAGTGTAGTAGAGGTCGCTAACATATTAATACAATGCAGCATGAGGATTTTAGCTGAACATGAACACGGTGTGCACTGGAAATGATAGCCACCAAGATAGCGGTATGAGACGGAGACAAAGAAGGCAAGTCAGCGGAATTATTTAACATGACAAGATGTATCATTAGAAACTAGCTCCAACTGTTAGAGATTTCAAGCAGCTTGGCAGCAGGTCCTCCAGCTACTGATAGATATACTCAACACAGTCTGGACTGTCACACAGATCAGATGAGTTTCTACTTTGTCTGTAGGTCTGTGCTCCTGCAAAGTGTAATTACAAATATATAGTCTGATTCCACTGGGTTTGTGCAGAATCAGATAGCAGCAACATGCCCCTGTCAGACTTTCTGGATGGCCTGAAGGACAACCCATACTTTGGGGCTGGGTTTGGACTGGTTGGGGTTGGGACAGCGTTGGCGGTGGCCAGGAAAGGTGCCCAGGTGGGAATGGTCTTCTTCCGCAGGCACTACATGATCACTCTAGAGGTCCCCAGCAGGGATAAGAGCTACCACTGGCTGCTGAGCTGGATTACCAAGCATGCCAGGCACACTCAGCACCTGAGCGTGGAGACCTCCTACCTTGCACATGAGAGTGGGCGGGTTCACACGCAGTTTGACTTCCACCCAAGTCCTGGGAACCACATCATCTGGTCAGAAGAGTTCTCTAAATATACTTGCATGGTACCAATATAATGACACTGACAACCCATTTTTCAAAAGCTGCACACCAGTTTGTATGGCATAAAAACACAGAGATAATACATACATTTATTAATCTGACAAATACCATTCTCTGTCAACAGTACATCCTCTGACACTGTTATCTATTGTGGTTTGCAGGTATGGGAGAAAGTGGATCAGGGTGGAGAGGACCAGAGAGAAGCAGATGGTGGATCTGCACACTGGAACCCCCTGGGAGTCTGTTACCTTCACTGCTTTAGGCAGAGACAGACAAATTTTCTTTAATATCTTACAAGAAGGTAAAGGTTTACGCAGGTCTTTAGTATATACCATATGAGAACTGCAATACACTTGACTTGTGTTGTCTATCTTTACCTTTATCGTTAGAGGTATTTTAGTGCAGTTGTCAATCATGTTTTGCAGCAAGAGAACTGGCCCTGAAGCAGGAAGAGGGACGAACAGTAATGTACACAGCCATGGGTGCTGAGTGGAGGCCCTTTGGATTTCCCAGGCGACGCAGACCCCTCAGCTCGGTGGTCCTGGATGTGGGTGTGACTGAAAGGATCGTCGATGATGTGAAGGAGTTCATCGGAAATCCCAAGTGGTACACAGACAGAGGTAGAACGCCCAGGTGTTAGCCAAGGGCTCAAACTTATTCATTCACTCATGCATATGGAAAACATGTTTTATTACTTGGTTATATAATTAATGTTTTTGTATCATGACAGTCATTGTCGTGACAAGTTATGCCTGCCAGCAGTGTCCATTAAGTCTTTCTTGTTGGCGCATTCCCTGACAGTTTGGCAGTGAATGTGCCAACATGGCATCAGCTCAGCAGAATTTTCAAAACAGTTCCTGCTTTCAATCAAGGAAACTATAAAGAATTTTTTAGATTGTAAATATTTTTTATTTTATTGTTTCCTTGCTTATATGCAGTTATCATACTTAAAAATAAAATAAACAAAAGCATGAATATTTAACACAGAAAATAAAAATCTTAAATCAGATTTTTATGAATGGTATGGTAGTATGCTTGGAAAATGGCAATTATGTAACATGTATGATTTGTAGTTAAAATTTCAAAAGTGTAAAACAATGGGAATGTTCCTAATAGCATTTTTTACTGTGTTAGAATGTACAGTTATTCTGTATGATGATACTTTTTTTTCTACCCAGGCATCCCCTACAGACGAGGATATCTGCTGTATGGCCCCCCGGGGTGTGGGAAAAGCAGCTTTATGTGAGTGTGCTTTGGAATTCTTACCCTTCCTGTTTTTAGAGTCAGTGTGATTGAAAGAAAGGGTGGGTGTCCAGTACTTGGGTGATATTTCACCAACATCTTTGTGCCTCATTATACTCCAGCACGGCACTGGCAGGCGAGCTGGGCTACAGCATCTGTCTGATGAGTCTGAGTGACAGAAGTCTTTCAGATGACCGTCTGAACCACCTCCTGAGTGTAGCACCACAGCAAAGCATCATACTGCTGGAAGATGTAGATGCAGCCTTTGTCAGCCGCGAGCTGCTCCCCACAGAGAGTAAGTAGCAGGGAAGGACCAGGGGTTTTGGATTTTGTTGTCGGAAACATGAAGAAGAAGCTGTCTTTTAAAATTGGGCTGTTACCTAGAAGTGACTACTGTGAGTGCTCAGACACTCTGTCTTTGTGTTTCATTGACTTTTGAATGCCTTTTGTCTTTGCCTCTCAGACCCTCTGGCCTACCAGGGAATGGGAAGACTGACCTTTAGTGGCCTGCTTAATTCTCTGGATGGAGTGGCTTCATCTGAGGCCAGAATAGTTTTCATGACCACCAACTTCATTGACAGGTACTGTTGGAAGAGAATTTGTAAACACAGTACTTATGACATTTATTGTTGTCCAAGCCAAAAAAAAAAAAAAAACCTTAAACATAGAAAACACCTTAAACTTAAATAAAAACTGTAGCAAAAAATAAAATCATATACCAGAGAATTATCAGTCTCTCCCGATTTGGATGCCTTCAGTTTTCATCATTCAGGAGTTTTTTTTTCTATTCTCTGCACATCCTCTCCAAAACAGATGGACCATGTGATTAAAGCCGGTAAAACACTAAATAAAGCAGTTCCTCGTGCTGTGTTTCCCAAAGCTGTTTGGCTCATTGTGGAGGGGCTGCCAGCCCAGCTCCTGCTAATGTGTGCTCACATTTTTTTTCTCTGATAGCCTAAGATCCAGATGTTTGGAGGGTTTTTCCAGAGAACCAAATTATGTATAAAGGTCTCCTCTTCTCCTAAACAAACAGATCTGATGATTTAAACCAGTATAAAACACTGAATAAAGCAGTCTCATGTTAAAAATGGGTGTTTCTCCAACACTATTCTGCACAACAGGGGCTGGAGCCCAGATGCCGCCAATGTTTGCTCAGCTTGTTTCTCTGATAACTTCAGAGCCAGACTTCTGATGACTAAATCCCTCATCCAGTTAAATCATATAGTTGAAAACGGCCAAGATCTAAAAAGTGAATCATAAAAACGTGGCTTAAAACTTGTTCATGACAGCTTCTGGCAGACAACCACCGTTCTTTATCTGTAATCCATTCATTTTCATTCATCTGAAACTTTCTCTCGTGTGCCAAGTGTGTTGGAGAACTACGGTGGCTGGTGCGAAAACATGAAAATGTTAATGGTCCCATCCAGAGTCAGTGTTTGATTTGTCCGTTCTGGGCTACTGTAAAAACAACATGGTGGACTCGGTGGTAGAGGACCTGCTCCTTATGTAGATGTAAAGGGCTCATTTAAAGGTATCAAAAACACAATGATTCTTAGTTTTAAGTGATTATAAACTAATTAAAATATGTTCATAAATATTGTATTCCATTTCTGCCAATATATCCCCCTAAATCCTACACACCGGACCTTTAATTAAATAATTTTGTGTAATGTGAAAGATACCTCTGAACCTGTAGAAAGCTATCAACAGACTCTACAGTTCCCCTCAGCTCTACAGAGTGTTTTGGTCTATTTTTGGACCTTGTTTTATTTGTTTGTTTTAGCCCACAGACACTGCTCTGACTGGAGACAGAGACAGATAAAGTTAGTGACCAGCTGGAGAACACAGTGGCGCATTTAGCAGTTAAAGACAGATATTTTTTTTTCAGGAACTGATCGAGGCTATAATAGAACCAAAATAGAAACTAAATATTGGACTTATGTGAAGGCTAATGTTGCTATGTGCCTGTTTATTGTACAAACAAGCAACAGTTAGCTAACACATTTGTCATAACCGCTTTATAAGGTGATAATATGTCAGTGTTGTGTATTGAGCTTGCCATGCTGCCTAGTAGTGGCTGAAATATCAGGTAATGCAGCTTTCAGATATTAAAACTAATATTGTATGTATTAACTAATTAAAACTATAACAATTACACAGTTACATTAATACCTTTTAAAATGGACATTACAACCTATATCATGGCGACCTAAAAGTGTTGTTTCACATTTCACTGGTGAGTTTTACATACTTGTAGGAGTATTTTCAGTGACATTAATTTTCAGTTTTGCTTGTGATCTCTACACACAGGTTAGATGCAGCACTGATCCGACCTGGCCGTGTTGATCTGAAGCAGTACATTGGGCATTGCACACACCAACAGCTTACGCAGATGTTCCGGCGGTTCTACCCAGACGAGCCTCCCCCTGAAGGAGAGCGGTTTGCAGAGCAAGCGTTGGCCGTCCACTCTGAGATCAGTGCTGCCCAGGTGCAAGGACACTTCCTGCTGCACAAAAACGACCCTGCAGGATCTATAGACAATGTTGCCCAAATGAAATAATGCCAGGACTGCAGGGTTACTAGAGACTCATTACTGAATAAAGAGAAACATGAGAAACATTGTTTTTACATTTCCAGTTGAAGTTATGGTATTAATAAGACAGATGTGCATTGATGTCATAGACTGTATGTGCAGTATATGATTGATACCAAATAAACACATTTCTGTTAATTGCATTACTTCATGTAAATCACACATACTCTCCATCTTGGACTATCATGCAGTGGCATGGAACAAGAGACTGAAGCCCAAGCTGTTTGAATGGAGCTGCTCAATGGGCAGCATGAAAGTTTGTTTAGAGAACTTCATTGATCCTGAAAAAAAACAAACAGATTTTGATGTAAATCTCATCTGCAATCACCAGACCATGGCTATTGTCCACATGCCAGGTTTAAAGGGACAGTATGTAATCCACAT